ACCTACACAGCATACGTGGCGGGGTCTGCTAGTTATCAATATTTATATTAGAATTGGAAAAAATTTAATAATTTAAATTTAATTGCAAAAATAAATTATCTAATTTTCCGGTTAGCTAATAATATCATGCATGTTTTATTAAATTTAATATATCGCTTCAATTTAGGAGTGAATTAGCTTGAAACATGTGATGTTATGGAAGTAAAATTATTTAATAGAGTTTCATCGATTACCTCTTATTTTCATAAAAGTGAAATTAGAATTGCAGAGTTAAGAAAAATATCTGAATAGAAGAATTTAAAATTAGTAACATTCCCAAATTTTTTTGAAATTCATTGGACTCAATTCACTAAATATTTAATAAATTCAATTTTACAATCGTGGCAAGTGCTTGTAACATATTTCAACCAATCAAATGAACGAAATGCAAAAGGATATTACAATTTATTGATAGATAAAAATACTCTAACGTTATTAAGTTTTCTCGCGGATGTGATTGAAATTTTTTCAATATTTCAAAAGAATTTACAAAGTAACGATGTAAATGTTTTAAAAATGGTAGAGTATGGCAGTCAAGTTTGCAGTACAATTAGAAGTCTAGAAAAAAATAATTTACTGGGTGGCTGGTTAACTACTCTAAATAAGGCAATCGAAATTGATGAAAATGGTACGCAAAGATTAAAAAATATTGAATTAATTGAGTACAAGAGACGTAATAAAACTCATAATTTATACGTCTCCGAAAAAAAGATATTTCTGCAATAATTAATGAAACCGTAATGACACTAAGTAATTGTTTAGAAAAGAGAAATTGCATATTAAAGATGTTTTACGGCCTTTCATAAATTTTGATAAAGATGTAAATTTAGATATCCACGAACACATTGCTTATGATATAAGCTTATCAAACCTTTATCTAGAATATTCAGAAATGATAGAAAATAGTTCACAAAATTTTGAAAACAAATCCTTATAAGAAATTTTAACGTCTTTGATAAATTTAAAAAATTATCCTATTGTATCAATAGGATAATTTTTTAAATTTATCAAAGACGTTAAAATTTCTTATTTTACAAGAATCATTGCTGCTAAACCTCGCAGTGCAGACGTTGAAAGGTTATTAATTAGATGTAACAATATTTTAAAAACGTCAGACAGATCATTATTACAAGTATCGATAGAGTTCCTATACTTATATATTTATTATATTATGCCTTCGTTGGATAAATAGGATCCAAGACCTGCTATATCAAATTGGATCACTGCAAAAAATCGTACAGATAACAGTTGCCCAAAGGCTAAGGAGCAAAAGTGGTGCAAAGGTATATTTAATTTTTCTGATATATTTATAGAATCGACAGAACAAAAGGAAAAAATACTCAATGTGAGCAAAAGAAAAAAACAACGCTGCTTTTGAATTTAATTTAAAAATGCGTGAATCAGAAATAATAGAACCAGTAATTTTAATGTAATTTTCTTTCAATAAACCTGTATTGTTTTCATATTGAAATTAATGAGTTAATGAGAAAGCAACGAGTTTTTCGTCAACAATCGTATATAAAATTTAGTTTAGGTAATTAATTTTACTACTATCGAAATTCAGATTCATCACTACTCGTTTCAGCTTTATCACTATCTTTTTAGTCACAACTACCGCTTAAAATATACCCTGTGGTGTATATACTGTATATTCGTTGTTGACTGAAGTATAGTTGTTGTTGTCATCAAAAAAATTTCCTGCTAAAAGAATTTCTAGAATGCCTTCTAAAAATGTGACTGATGTCAAGGTCGTTTGTACAGTTTAAGGGACGTACAAGGCGGGCAAGTTAAAAATATTTATAAATAGTTCAAGCGCAGATTTACTTAGTGGACAAACAGCCTTACGAACGTATACAAAATATATAAAAGTTTAATTTTATTTTAGTTGTTTTTTTAGAAAATATCGTGTAATGTTTTTAGATGATTTTATTTAAATGTATACTGTGTTACCTGCAATGAACCAACATAGGGTTCGGATCGTTTTCGATCATACGATCCCTTACGGTTCGTACAAAATTTATTAGAAGCTCCGTATTTTCGGGACAACCGAAATCAGGCCACTTTGTGAAGTGCATTTGGGTCATGACACGTTGCTTCTCCCCCTAAAGATGAGAAATATATCACTATATTTATATAAATTAATTAAAAATACAAATTCTAAAGGTTGCTCTTTACCAGCGAAACGTTAAAGCTGCGAATTATATAGTCGGATAGGATGGATTCGTGGATTGTTTGCACTTTCAAATCTCCGTATGTTGCTTCTTCTTTATCTAGAGGCCAATATTGTTCGCATTTTGTCTAATTATTTTAAAAAGTTAAAATTATAATTGCTGATTATCAATAAAAATTTTCATTAAACGTTTACTTACTTTCCCCCTCTCCACACATTGAGTTAACATAACAATCATGGAGATTCCATGCTCCCATATCATACGCCACATGTCATCAACTGTATTTGGTAAAGGTCCTTGCGTGGCAATATATTCTCTATGAGAGTTAAATCCCTAGATTCATAAATAATAAATATATTAAGTAATGGGATTATCTAAATATCGTGGGCTTTGTACATTATCTATACACATTATGCATCATACGTTAGCTATGTAAAATATATAAGTTTTGCATACTACCTATACAGTACGCACTACATATTATCTCGGTAAGCTACATTCTATATATTATTACGTGTAGTAAAAGCTTTACATCTTACTGTATTTAGAATAACAGAATTATGTTATTAATGTATATAATAGTATATAGGTCTTAGTTTATACGCAAAGTAAGCTCTAGACAATATAAACCGTATATAAATTAAATCCTACACATAAGCACAACTCTGTAGATTTACTTTATACATGATCGTAAGTATTTAATATAAAGTTATATCATGTATAAAGTTATATCATATACGAGCGAATAAACAAAGCTCTAAATACATAAATAGAACAATTCTATAGATTTTAAGGTACTTTTAAATAATGTAAACTCAATATTCCGTACAACTTAAAACATTAAAACGATCGGGAAAAACACTAAAAACTAAACTGTAAAACGCATTTCCTTCTTTTAGTAGAAAAATAAGAAATCCAAGTGAAAGTGAGAACACCTGTGTTTACAATACTAGTAAAAAAATCTATACAAGGAAGCGAACAGGAGTTTAAAAAAAGCTGTTGGGACTAGGTGGGCTTCAGATTCGCACCTGTTCTGGGGTGTCAGAAGAAAAGAAACACAGTACAATAAGTTCGGGAGGGGTGGAAACCGTATATAGATCGCTCTGACGAAGGTTTCTTTTTTATCCATTCAGCCATAAAAAAATAAATCTCTCTGTCTGTTGTCTGACTTGTCGCTTCTACTAATGCTACTATCATACTTGTTTCCGAAGATAGTTTATTCTTTTCTCAGTAACTAGATGTGTCATAAATTGATACATAAAGGACAAGAAGAGACATAAGTTCAAGGTGATCCTTCCATGATAAGAAACTATACTACCAATTAAAAGAAAACAGTTTAGAAGAGTGGGATATTTATTGGTATTTACCTTATTTTGTAAATTGTGATCTTTTCTGTGTAATTAACGTCGTTTATACTTAGTAAATTGTCCGAGAAATTAGTTTTTAAGCAAGTTAATTATGAAATATAATTTACATTTGAAACTTTGTAAACACATGTACAAAGTTCATTCAATAATCTCGCTTTTTCGCATTTGTTTGTCTGGAGTCGAAAAATTGAAAATATGGTCTAATAAACGTACTCTATATCGAATTATGAAATTTTCTTTATCGATTTAATCACTCGATATAGCGCAATTTAGGTTTAACGTAGGCGTAATACTGTATTTTTAATATCCCGAGTATTTTACGCTAAAACTTCTAAATAAATCTTACATCTATTTATTAATTTTTTTCTTTGTTAGAAACTGGAAAATTCTAAATGGTGTTTTATCTTTAATTTATATTAAAAAAAATCATAAATCAGTCTCAAATGACTTCATTTAAATCCGAGATATCTAAGTTTTGAAAATTATTTGTGCTGTAAAACTTTTTTAGAAAAACGTAACTTAGCGATCTTTTTGAAAATTACATTATAAAAAGTCCAGCAACGAGTTACGTAACTTTCTCGGCAAAAAATTTTAAAATAGTGGCGCGATGTGTTATGATATTTTATTTTTTAAAACTTTTTCTATTTAACTATTCATTAGCTTTCGTTTGAAAGTAAAGATGAGTTTGATATAAAAAATTGTTAATGCCAATAATGAGTAAAATCTTCATTAACTCTGACCCTACTCGAGATATGACACGACTCCATCTATCTTCCTCCCCTGCATCTTTAACCACCAAAATTAAATAGCATTAACCCTCATAATATTAACCTAGCAAAATTTCAGAAATTTCTGACGCAAGACAGAGTTATTAAACTATAATTTACGTGAACAAAATCGAGTTACCCACACAAACATACTAACAACCATCGACGTTTCAAAGGTTCCGAGTCCGAAAATATAAAAATCTTTGGGTGTCATTTTTTTGACCGATCGCCACACTTAAGCAGATTTAAAATTTACTACTTTATATAACGTAATTTAAGTTTTAACAAAGACGAAGTACACCTAAATCGTAAACATTTTAGGTCAATAATAAATGTAGATAAAAGTTTAAGTAATAAATGTTAGATAAAAATTTATAAGTTAAATTCTTAGAAGCTGAGAAATTCTAAAAGTTTGTCGATTAATTTATAAAAAGGGAGTCATATTTAAGTCTCTAGCTTAATTCATATCGGAATATGTAAAAGATAGTAGATAGATATAAAAAAATACAAAGTGTTTTTTAAAATTAATTCTAAAATTTTTAAAATTACGTTATAAAATTAATTTAAAAAACTCAACTTTATCATCAATACACACCGGTATATAACTAGCATTAATATAATCAGAACCAGGTTCATCATCCATTGGAAGTAACTTAACTCTGGAATGGTCAACTAAAAAACGAAAATAAAAGAAAACTCTTACAAAAACACGGTAATAAGTTAATTTAATTGAAATCTTTCATTTAAAATACTGAAATTATCTGTATTTTTTGATTAACTAATAATGTGACAACTTAATCTATAACGGAGATATAAATATTTTCAAATTTATTAAAATTATCAATGAAAAATTAGAGATAATTTGATTAAAAGATACAAATATATTCAAGGATATAGAGATTATAGAGGAGAATATTTTCTAAAAAAATCTTACATGGTAATATATTAATCCATCTATTTTTTAATTTATTTTCTTGCATCTGTGCAGCGCTACAAGAATGACTTGGACTAATAGATTTCAGCTCCTAATTTATCAAAAAATTTCGTTTAAAACTTTAAAAACTTATTAATTATAATCTGTAACATCTAAAAAATATCAAAAGAATAAAAAAGGTAATGTTTTTACTTCAAATTCTTGAGAAAATCTCAGAGCAGAATCTGCCATCATAGCACTAACGTGACTAGCAAATGAGCTTAATTTTACGGGTCTATAAATAAAATTATATAATTAATTTTCATGATTTTTTAAAGAAAAATAGCATTTAAATAAGTCAAAAACATTCGTAAATTATCTACCTAGACTTGGTTATAACTGACATAAAACTGATATCATTCGTTTCTGTTGAAGTCTCCATTACGGTCTTCCCAAAAAATCTACTATAAACAATTCAAAAATTACAAATTAATCTAAAAGTTTTATTTAAAAAACACTTCTTATTCTTACTTGATAATTCCAAATTTCTTATAAATAAAAAATCCGGTTGCTAATAACATTAAGAACAATAAACTAACAACAACAGCAACTATAATGCCCGATTTTGGTTTCTGAGCTTCTTCGGGTTCTAAAACAAAACAAAAAACGCAGAATTAATAACAAAGAAAGCAAGAACTTCCACAAACTTAATTTTAGATACCTGTTTCTGTACAAATGGGAGGAGTTTCAGCGAATCCTGAGGTTGTATATCCCCTAATTTTGATGCTAAAAGTAAGAATTCAAAGAGTATTATTGTATCATAATTATTATAAATAGTCAGGAAACAATTGGATATTTTGGAATAATGTTTAAATCGCTTACCTGTAACGAAGGCCTGGTCTTAAAGGTCCATTACAATAATCTTTAATCTTATTATTCTTACATCTGTTATCATACCCCAAAGTATAGTTTATCTTGCACGAGTTACTGTCGCCAACTGGTTTACATTTCACAGACTCATTTACTAAAAAATCATTTTCATGCTCAATTTTATTACTTTTAAAAGTTTTAAAAACTTTTAACCATAAATTTTACCATTAAATGGATTCCAAGAATTCGGTGTAGCTTGATATTTAGTACAATTTTTTTCTTTAGTACATTTATACCACGTGGGTAATTTAGTTATATTGAGATTCCCTTGTTCTGGTTTGTCTATTAAAAAAAATTTTTAATATATATATATTGTAATATTTTAAGAATAGTGTAAATAAACAGCTATAAATGTAGCTAACTACATTAAGAAATCTGCTGGTTCCCTAATAGATAACCAGCAGATTTCTTAATGTGGGAACACTGCATTAGGGGCTAAATAAAGGGATTTCCCACATAAAATTAATTATATAGATAATGTAAGTGTTAATTATCCTTACTGTTAGGATGACCTTTTTCTACTATAACAGCATAGTTAATAATAGCGCCCATACTATTAGAAAATGTATCGTTATAGAGTTCAAACGTAATCTGTCGTTTAAACTTCTCTAAAATAGTGATATTTTTCTTTGGGAAAGGCGGCCCTAATAAAAACATCACAAAATAAATTAATATTTTAATTAATTATTTCTCGAATAGTTTCTAAGAAAATTAAAGTTTCTTACATCCAGCAGGAAGAGTACGAGTGAAAATCTCCTCATTTCCTCTGATAAAACCGCCTTTCGTGTCATCAACTTTGGCATAAATCGAAAACACGTAAGAATGTTCAGGCAAAAGTTGATCTATTGTTGTGTTGTAAGATGGAGGATCAACTTCGCATTCACGGTGAGAACGTGTAATAGTTTTGTTTCTCTGGAATCTCCTGTCCTTAAAATTATTAAAAATTTATGAATGGAATTAAATTTAAATTCATCCAAAAACAAAACAAAACAAAAAATTCCACTAAATTCACTACCTTTGATTCTACATAAGATATGAAGAACTCCGTTATATTACCATTTGGTTTCTCTGGAATCTTCCAACAAATGTTTATATTAGTTGGCTTAACTTCATCTTTTACATCTTTCACTAAACTAGGACCTATTATTTAATTAAAAATACTTAATATAATAATATTTATAACCTCTAGTCCCATTGAAAACTATTGGCGGACTCGTCGCTGTAAAGTAAATTATATTTTGTAACTTACGATCAGGCAACGTCTCCTTTTCTAATGATGATGATGATGAGTTCCCTACTTCTGTTGTAGCTCGAATGTCCACAATATATTTAGTATAAGGCTCCAACTTGAAAAAATAGGCAGTGTTGTTGTTGTAACCAATGTTCTCTTGTGTTTGAACATTCTCTCTAGACTTTTTATTACATCTATCTAATTTGAAAAGCGTCAATGTATAATTGGTAGGACCAGGAAACTCTTTCGGTGGTGACCAGGTGACGTGCAACGAAGTAGAAGATCTTCCAGATACTTTAAAATCAGTTATGTTATTTGGTTCTACAAATAAAACAGGATTAATGTTTCTTCATAACCTTTGCTAAATAATTTAATTTAAATTTAGAACATACGAGAAGAACTCGTCTGACAAATAATTAATGTGCTCCATTTGCCTTGGCCTTTACTTGTCCACGCGGAAACCTTAAATTCGTACTTTGTATACGGCTCTAAATCGTTTAAAGTCAGGTTTTTCGTCTCTGTATTTTCATTCTTTTCATTCTTGTTTGCTGAATTCTGTGTAAGTTTACAGTAGTTAACTGTGTAATTTATAATATTTCCCACGTATGGAGATGGTTCCCCCCATTTGATAGTAATAGAAGTACTGCTGGAGTTGTGACAACTAACATTTGTTGGAGATACAGGCACTGGAACAAAGAAAATTTCTGAATTTTCTGCAGACCAAAATCAAAACATTTCATTATTTTGCATTAAACTGAGTATACATGCAATTACATTTAGAAGAAAGATGATTATATAAATTTTTAGAGGCAATTCAAATTAGAAATTATCTTTGGTTTTTCCAGTAGAACAACTTATATTGCTCATTAAATATTCACCAACATCTCTTAATAAACTCATAGACATAGAAAGCATAATTCGTAGCGGAGTGCAAATCTGAGGTCAAAAATTTTGCAGAATTTTCATTCCTCCACGTACAGTTATTACTTGCAACACAGGGTTAATTGAACTCATTGCTTTCATTCCAAGTAACATGATATCCATTGATGCTATAATTATGCAATTTGGGGGTTCCTAGGTAACATTCATAGTTGTTGAATTATACGGGATCAAATTAAGCGAGTAGGGACCAGGAAATTCTGCAATCCATTCAATAAACAACATGCATCGGCCATCGTTAGTTTGGTTAGTGTTAATTTTAATTAGTTCCTATTAATTTAAATACCTGGATGTTTGGTCTTAACTTCAATTTTTTTCTCTGGACTCCTTAAGAGACTTCCATTCCACGTGTTAAATGCAGATAAACTGAATTCATATAATGTCCAAGAACGTAAATTCTCGACTGTCAGAGAAGTGTTACTTGTGTTAAGATGTTCAACTTCAGTGTTCGTTCTGCGTATTACCGTATAACCATTGATGGGTCCGTTGGGATCGGTAGGTTTCTGCCATTGTAATTTCACTTTGTATGGCTCATAAGTAATGTTTCTAAACTTTAATGGCTCACTAGGAGCTAAAATAAACAGTTAAACCAGAAAATGAGTTAAATACCAAAGCTCACTTTAAAAAATTGTTTAATTTAAAACAAAGCAACAAATTCAAGAAGAAATTTACACGGATTTTTAACGTATTAATCTCTTTCACTTTGTTTTCGGAGATTTTAGAAATTACGAATGCGATTATTTTAACAAAAATAATATCAAAATCCCACAACGAAAATTTGAAAAATCGATTATTAAGTAATATTTGAATTTTTAGTTTATAAATTCTTTTAAAAAAGTTACAAAATTCATATTGATTCTTTTGAAATGTCACAATTGAGCAATAAGCGTGCATTTTTTATGTAAAAAATTTAAATTCAATTCTACTCATAGATGGCATTACAAGTACAATTTCTTTTATTTAGAAGTTGATTTTTTGGAGCATCAATATAAATTATTTTCAAAAAGCCCATATATATATATATAATTTCAAAACGTGTAAAGATACTCTAAACAACACAAACTTCCAGAAAAAAATCTCAATAAAAAATTTCCTTTTCTGATGATACTCAACCGCATAGAGCATAAAGAGGGGGAGGGAGGGACAGAAAATTTCAATATTTGCAAATTTCAGTGAATGTCTCGTTGAAATTAATCGAATCCACAGTGGCAACTTAGATTTCAAAACAGAAAAAAATTTAATGTCAGATAGAATGATTTGAAAGGACATCGCTCGAAAAATGATTCTCCCTCCCATACGACAGTACATCGAGTCGAATGAGAAGGAATGTAAAGGACTAGTAAGCTATATCAAACAAGTTCTCTTCAACGAGTAAACAAGGTGAAAGATCTTTCTTACGTAAAGCATAACAACCTTTTAGTTATGGCAACATTTTTCACTTCACTATCTCCTTTCAAATGATTGACAGACTTGTTTTTTTCTTTTCTTTTTAGCGAAAATATCAAAAACATCGCTAACAAATGTACTCGGTAAGCATATATTAATCTTACCGATGTGTAAATATGTGATTTGCATTTCTTTTATTTATTTACTCTTCTAAAACCTCTGATAAACGAATCCGAAAAACTTTTTTCATTTTTTGTTAGGGCCTCAGAGCAATTATAACTATACTTATTTAGTTATATATATTTAATAATTAAAATTTATATATATATATGTATTCAAACGATTTAATATCCAGAAGAATATTCGTTATCTAAACACGTCATTTAAAAAAGAAAATAAAAAATTACGTATTATTTCGGATGAAATTTAATTATTCATAATCCGGAAGAAGTAACTACTTTGAATAAAGAATTCTAAGTTTTAATGAATAAAATCATAGAAATTTTTAGAATTTGAAATTAAATAAACATATTTGGAAAAATGTTATACAATTTTCAAATCAAACAGAGATTGCTTGAAAAATTAATTGATATAATTCTTCCTTCGAATTGCAGTCATTGAGAAAAAATAAGTCACTATCCTCTCTAAGAGACTCAAGTTCGCTGCATTCACAAAGTAGTCTAAGTAAAAACTGGAAAATGGCTCATAACAATCCCTACACTTGTCTTTTCTGAAAAAATTTGAATCAATCATAATATAAAACTGTTAGTCTTAGTTGCATATAAAATCTTTTCGCTTTGAAAGGTATTTTTGAATAAATATAGACTTTTGAAAGCGAAAAAGTTAAATTACTCGAATACCAGCTATAAAATTTTGCTTTTTGTATACATTCGTTTTCGTAGCTGATTACGTTGTTACAAATATTAGACATTAAGATAGATTGACCAAATTACTAATATTATCTAGAAGCATATTAAACAGAACACGAGAAATAGCATGTAAATAACTATAATATACTAATTATTTGTATATGAACCTTTCTGGTTTGACAGTCGTTTAAACTCGTTCAATAAAATATTATCTAATTTATTTTCATTAATTCTCTTGACAAATTTCAGAATTTATCATCATCAAAAAAGGCACCAACACTAATCGATTTAAATCATGACGTAGGTCATAACTTGGAACTAACTTATCCAGACATAATAATTTTCTTATAAATTTTATCTGTATAATCTCCAAATGAGTCATCCAATCAAAACTCCAGAATAGGAGTGAATAGCAAATAAACCTCATAATTATTGAGGAAAATAGCTTAAAATGATTTTGAATCGTATTGATCTTCATCTTGTTCATTAAATAGATCAAATTATAAATAATTCTCTCAAATTTGATTTTTAAATATAAAAAGTGATTTTTAAACAATAAATTTTGTATAAATCAGGGCTGTGGAGTCGCGAAAAAATCTACCGA